GCGCGGTTTAGTCGGGCGCGGTTTAGTCGGGCGCGGTTTTGTGGTGGAACCATTGTCTGCTGCCTTAAACAAACCATTTGTCAGTCTTCTCACATAAGAAAGCTGAATGAAGTAAATAAATAATTCTCAATAATTCAGGAAAACCACAATCGGAATCAGCCACGGTTGTGATTAATGAGCAACAAACTTAGTTCAAAATTAAACCATGGTTTACTTATTAATGTATTTTCAGCAATTAAATTCCTGATGTTTGAAAGTACTGATATTTTTAAATGCTGTCAGAAGAATAATTTGGGGTTCCAACTCGAGCCGGAGTTGTGCAAGCTGCCTTTGCCTTTGGGGCAGCTGCAGAGAAATGGGGTACAGCGACACAATTAAATAGGGGAGCTTGTCGACATGCTGATTCTAGGGTGACACTTGAGATGCGTGTAGGTACGTGTCATCTATGATGTTTATTTTTGTGAAAATGCAATTCCACTGGAGCCCTAATTTAATTAACTCTATTTCTGCTTACAGACCTTATTCTTTGATAGATGAATTAGGTCTGTGTCACATATTTTGGGATTCGAGGAAGTCTAAGTAAAAGATTTCCCCCCATTTGCTATTTTTACTTGATTAATTTAATTTCAGATTGACCATCAATCATCTATTGGAGACACTGATATGATGCTTAGCCCATTGTAAATTATGTTACTGTTTTAAGGGAGGTTGGAAAGAAATCTAAAGAATAGAATTTATTTTGATGTAAAATTTCTCACAGTATATTAAACAATAAGGCTATGCAGTATATTACGAAGACAGGAAAAAACAGATTCGAATTTTATAGGAAAATACAGTATTTGCATGTCTATTTATCAAAGCTGCTTTTAAAAAAATTCCTCAGATATATTCTATATTCACTACTAAACTGTGAACTTGTCAACAATGATATGTATAATTTAAGGTCTAATCTTGATTGCCTTTCAGGTAGTTGTATCCTGATGCTTCTATTGCACCAAATGTCTAGAACTACAGCAACATTGATACCAGTTGTGGGTTGCTCCCGGTTCGAGTGAACCGATAGTGGCGGGGGCAGGAGGCTCTGCCCACCCGCCCAGACGCTTTTGCGCATGCACAGAAGCGTTGAGCGCACGAGCGCGCAAGCACGAGTGAACCAGTAGCGCTGGGATTTGCAACCCACCTCTGATTGATACCAAATGCATGAACTTCTCACATCCTGTCTAGTTCTAATCTAAGAAAGTATAGTTTGTTAATCAGCTACTATACCAGCACCTGGGTAAAAAGATACATTTGGAGGTAAAATCTTTGCACTGTTTCACATTAATTGCCAGCAAGCCTGCCTGTTGAAATAGGAAATATATTCATTTCATTATAAAATCACATACAAGCCTGAAAAAGTGTATTTAGCTGTCAGCACTTTTGAGTTAGAAAATTGCTACTAAAGTTAACATTGTACTAACAAAATATCAGAATAGGTTTTGAGTCTATTTAACATACATTAGAATATTTTGACTTAGAATCATAGGATAGGACATCTCCTTGTCCAACCCTCAGTGGAGGCAGAAATCCTCATAACATCCCAGACAAATAGCTGTCCAATTTTTTATTGAAAACCTCGTAGCTTCAGCTATTCGTTCCTTAATAATTCTTATAGCCAGAAAACCTTTCCTTACTTCAAGATTTGCTGTACCGGAATGCACAGATCATAATGGAATACGAAGACTGCGGTACATAATATTTCCATCAAAGGCAGATACAGTATGCTAAGTTAGTATATGGAATAATACAACTTTGTCTGAGTTGGCTTAATTCCTGGAGATTTTGAACACACTGTATAGTTTTCTTGGCAACTTTGGAAAAATGGTTTACCATTTCGACTTTCTGGAATATATTTTAGACTTCACACTCTGGTGTCCAACTGTGATATTCCCATATTCAGGTACTGGGAGACCTGACTACATAACTTTTTATAGAACTCATAATCTCCCAATTTCTAGCCTGGTGTCTTAACCAAACTGGCTTTTTTGCCAGTTGCTGAGATTCAATGCACAGGCCACCAATGTTTGTAATCAATTCTAGCACAAATTAAGTTTTCAAATTTTAAGACAAGAATAAGTTCGTGCAACAGATGTGATGATCTCCCACCATTCATCATCAAAATACATTTGCAATCTTCAAGCATCTGATTAGCAATAAAATGCAATGCATGACAATGAAAAAAAATCTTTAATTACATACCACATCACCACAAGGAATTAAATTATGGATGTCACTAGGCATGTGAAGCGCTGCCTCTTCATTTACCTTCTGATTTCTCATCAACATCTATGAAAAAGGATAAATTAGGCTCTGTAAGCTGGACAAATCATAGCTACTAGAACCTGAAAACAAAACATAAAAAGGAAAAGTGCTAAAAATCAGCCATGACTTGTAATGAAACTTGTTGCAGCTTATCTGTCATCATGCATCTGAATTTTCATGCTGAATGAGAAAGAAAGAAAGAGACAATGCAATTTGCTTTGATGAAACATTTTATAAACGTGCAGTCCCTTTGGCCTTCGTGCCACCAAGTTACACAGGGGTGGGTTGCTAATCCCGTTCCAACCGGTTTGGTTGGAACGGGGCCGGCGGCGTCCTCGTGCACGCGCGCAGTTCACGCATGCGTCTTAGCACCTACGCAATGCTCCAGCTGCTCGCGGAGACTCACGCAGGCGCTGTATGTGTCATGTGCCTGCGTGGAAGCGCAGAAGCCTTCAAAGACCGGTAAGGAGGGCGGGCGGGTGGGCCCTTCGCCGTTCCCGGAAGTTACTTACTTCCGGGTTCGCTGACCAACCGGTTCGCGGGGACCGCCACGAACCGGTTGAAACCCACCCCTGAAGTTACAGTACAGTGCTGTTGCAGGAATAGCACATTATTAACTATTAAGAGACTCCTTAATAATTCTGTCAAAGCATAAAGATTCTTCATTGTCTTCTCAGCAGAACAAAACAGTTTACTTTGTAGAGGCCAATCATATTGTCTCTCTGCTGCCACAAAAAGAATCAGATGAGATCTATGGTGAATGTCTCTTGTTTGAGGAGAATTGAAGTCATCTTACGTAGGCCTGGTAGATAATTCAATAAAAATATCAGCCATTATGCTGCAGGGGAAAAAAAAAGAAAGATCAATTTCATGTTAGGGGCCACAAGGAAGTATCCCTGCTCAAAAACTACTAATCCACAATTATCTATAAAATATATGGAATAATCACATTCTAATACTAGGAATTATTGCACTTTTAAAAAGGATAAAAAAAGATGTGCAACCAGAACATGGAATGTAAGAAGTATGAACTAAGGAAAACTTGAACTTGTCAAAGTGCAATAGGAAAATAGGAGAATAAATACATTAAATGGAATGTTTTAGGAATGAACAAATCAAGTAGATTAGGCTGGACTGTGTAATTATGTGCTTAAATTGGAATATAGTTGGCTATTATGATTCCGGCATGAGACCATACAAAGGAAAGGAATATCAGTGATATCTCAAAGGGAACAGCTCAATATATGGCTAGCTAAACCCAATAAACAATAGAATCATATCTATTAGAATGAGTTACTATCCAGTGAAAATCTATTCTCTGTATAATCTAGTTTCCCTTAGAGGCCTCATCTTCTAATGTATTGAGAGAGTGAGTTTAATCGATTTTCAAAGATCTATTCCAATTTTAGTGCTTTCTGCGATAGTGAAAAATTAGAATCAACGCTTGCCATACTTTTCAATTAGCTGAGTTTCAAATGAGAGCCATAAGGAACATGGATTATTTCCAGATTGTAAACTGCCAAAATGTTGCAGTTGATTTTGCTATTTTCATCATAATTTCTCTTAAACTAAAGTGCACTTTAAAAAGAACTGAAGGTTCGTGTGACATGCCTGCACTTTAACTATAGGGTATTGTTAATGGAGAAAACTACTACATGAGAGAAGCAAAGATACAATTGGTAGTACATTGTGCTGAGCAATTTGCATATTATTAAGATGCTTAAACCTGTATGCTAAGCCAGGTTTTTATTGACAATTTGCACATGCAATGTATTATAAAAGCTATTTAATAATGGTTCTAAATAAATCAATTACATTGGTCAATCAGATGAATTGAATGGCTTCAAGAAGTGCTCCGAGAATGAATAAAGATTAATTTAAAGGAACCAAATAAGGGACACTTTTCCAGTACCCACTAAATCTATCATAACAACACATAAAAGCACAACACATAAAAAAGAATAGATCCTCCTCATAAATGCTCTTAACCTTTAGGCTAAATCTATAGAAATGAGTGACTTTAATAAAAACCGAATCGGAGCTCGTAATTCTAGAGATGAATATATGCAAGGCAACAGATTCACGCAACAAAATCACTTACAAATAAAAAAAGGCAGAAGATAATCTGACCATGAATAAGCAGATGCTCATTTAGTAGCACAGAATAGGTTTCGGCATTTATACTGAGAACAGCAGAATATTAAACGTAACCTCAGAAAAAACAACTTTCCTACTCACAAAGCATGTAGAGTTAGATAAAAACAGTTTTTACACCGTAAAACTGGGACTCTACTGGATTAAAAATGTAAAGATGGATTTATAAATCTCTTCCTAGAAATAGGGACATGATGAAGCGTAATCATCACGGTGCAGTCATGCACCATGGCAACTCACAGGATGAAATTGCGGTAGATACCGTCTCTTAATTTAATCTACCCCATAGAGTAGGGAGTATAATAACTGGAGTAATGGGTACTACATGTATTGCCTTGAGCCTTCTGGAAGGATACTAATTGAATGGATGAACGAATAAAAAAAAGGTACGTCTAGGTCATCCCCTAACTTGGAATCTGGCACATTTGTAATCCAAGGTACAGTTATNGCGGTTTTGTCGTGCCACGCCTATTATTAAATATTTGAAAGAAGCTGCATTTGTTGGATTGGATCAACTTAGGTGTATTTGAAAGTATATTGATCTTCATGTTCTACACTCCCATGTAGAAATTTCAAGGAATTAGATTCTGGGTTCCCTAAAGGTAGTCCTCGACTTATGACCACATTGAGCCCAACATTTCTGTTGTTAAGTGAGACATCTGTTGAGTTTTGCCCCATTTTACAACCTTTCTTGCCACGGTTGTTAAGGGAGTCACTGCAGTTCACCTGGCTATTAAGTGAATCTGGCTTTCCTATTGCCGTTGCTTGTCAAAAGATTGCAAAAGGGGATTGCGTGACCCCGGGACACTGCAATTGTCATCAATACGAACTAGTTGCCAAGCATCTGATTTTTGATCTCATGATCATGGGGATGCTACAAAGGTTGTTAAGTGTAAAAGATAGTCATGTCACTTTTTCCCAGCGCCGTTGTAACTTTGAACAGTCACTAAAGGAACTGTTGTAAGTTGAGGACTATCTGTCTTCTATTCCGAAGGCTGCAGATCCACCTGACATGACTGGACTGTTCAACCTTAGATCCAGAGCAGGGGTCTCCAACCTTGGCAACTTTAAGACTTGTGGACTTCAACTCCCAGAATTCCTCAGTCAGCTTGTGGACTTCAACTCCCAGAATTCCTCAGTCAGCAACTTCAACTCTGGCAGTTGAAGTCCACAAGTCTTAAAGTTGCCAAGGTTGGAGAGCCTTGAGCTAGAAGCTATTTCTAGCCAGTCACTTGTTCCTTGTGAGTGGCTAGAAGTTTGTATTTCAATCTTTCTTTCTCCTTTTTCTTACCTGAAATGGCATACTATACCCATGATAGCGTGTCACCTGTGGCACGCGGAACCATATGTTAGAGCACACGAGGTGTTGCTGCGCCAGCTCAGCTGACTTCGGTCTTCTTTTAAGCCCGTTTTTCACCCTCCAGAGGCTTCCTCGAAGCCTCCAGAGCGCGAAAAACCAGCCCTACGGGCAATCGGGAAGTCACTTGCCCCAAAAGCGGGGGGGGGAGTGCTGGCCATGCGCACAAGCATGGGAGAGGGGTCACGTGTATAGCTTTATGGGTGTGGCATGCCCGTGCACAACCCCCCTCACTCCCCCCGCTTTTGGCACATGATCCAAAAAACGGTTAGCCATCACTGCACTATACTATAATGAATTAAAGGGCCAGGCCCTGATGTGTAGGCCATCAGATGACTGTGGTTCCCCGCCCCCCCCCCCAAACTCCATGTCCAAGCCAAAGCAGAGCCATTCTTAATGACATCATGGGCTCCTCCTAACCTCATTGGCTGGAGGTTGCCATAGCAAACATCAACATTTCTGGCATCGTTGATTCTTTTGGACAGCAGCACCGCAAGACCCAGTTCAAAATTCCTGCATCAGAAGAAAAGCGACTCCCAAAATATTTCTTTGGGGGTATTTATTTAAATAAGGGGCAAGATCAGACAATGTCATTGGAAGATCTGTCAGCAACCAATAGGCAATTCCTTTTCCAGGTAGAGGAACTGAGAGAGCACGTAGCCACCTTGGATTCCGAGAACCAGGAGTTTCTCCACGACAAGGAATACATCAAAGAGCAGCATAGGTGTCTCCGGGAGACGGTGGATCACCTTAAGTCCACCATGGAACACCTGCAGAAAACTGTGGAGGACATCAAAGAAAGTTTGGACCACGTCAACATGGCGATCCACGAATTAGCGCTGCAGAACAAGTCTTTGGTGACAGCCAACAACGACCTCAACCAGGAAATGCACGAGGTCACCAGCCAAGTGGCCGTCTTCAAAAACGACAAACCTACCCACGAGAACGACCTCAAGGAGATGCGGAACCTCCCGTCCGAGGTTCAAAAGTACGTCCGTAACCTGGAGGATAAACTGTCCGAGATGGAGAACAACTACCATGTGGAGAAAACCCAATCGGGCCAACTGAAGGAGAAAGTCATGACTATTCAGCAAGCCAGAGAACACCTGAGGACCCGCATCAAAGACCTCCAGAACCAACAGGACCTCTGCGTGCAGCAGGCCACGTTTCTGCGGCTGGACCAGGAGAATCAGATGCCAGCGGGCATTCTGATGCATGAACTCGTGGAGGCCAGGCTGGTAGGGGTGGCCCGGGACAGGTCGAAGGAAAGGAAGATTCTGCGTTGGTTATGGGTGGCAGTCAAAGTTCTGATGTTATTGCTGTTTGTCTGCTGCGTAATCCTCGGCCTTGTCTTGGCGTACACTTGCTTTTTTAATCCCTTGTTCATCTCTGACGCACTTGTGGGGCTCCTCAGTGACCAGAGCATTCAGAAACTTGTGCATCGTTTCTCCCCGTATCTCGAACAGAAAAACGATGGCCTTTTGCCGTATTGAGAAATGAAATTCTATCTCTCCTTTCGTTGACTTGCTACCTAGGATGCAAGGAGGAGAGGATCAATGAATTTGGTAGAAGAACAAAAATGGATTCTTCCGTCTTGGTTTCCAGCATTGGAAACATATAATCCATCGATATATGTATATAGATCTTCTTTTTTCTATTGTTGGCCCTATCTTCTTTTTTCCCCCCCTATTGTTTTATTGTTTCTTCTTTCGGCTTTTGCTTAATTAAAGAAAATCAAAAATAAACACGAATGAATCCATTGTGTTTTCCTTCTACGGTTTTCCAAAGTGAGAAGATGCTCAAAAGGGAGCAAATCAGAATCAATTCTTATAGGATCCAGTTCACTTGAAGAAATCATTTGCAGGAGAACTTATCTAGCTCGTAGTACCAATTAAGTTTGGGGGGAATCTTAGCTATCTCAAAAGGGAATGTCCCAAAAGTGCTTTTTTCAAGAGGCACCTGGACTTACTGGGGTTTTTTTTTCTTTGAAGATGTTTTGCTTCTCATCCAAGAAGCTTCTTCAGCTCTGGCTGCATGGTGGAGAATGGAAGGATTGATACTCCTTGTAGGCAGCTGGTCCTTTGCATACTTTTAGCCAGGCATTAAGGCCACTTGGAGGTTTATCTCTGTCCTCAGGGTCACCTGAGTGGTGCAAATGGGTGCAGAGCCTTCTTGGAACTGTTGAAAGGACTGTGTTGTAGACTGGAGATGGATGATGTCGTATCCCTCCCTCTCTGTTAAGAGAATAGCAATAGCAATAGCAGTTAGATTTATATACCGCTTCATAGGGCTTTCAGCCCTCTCTAAGCGGTTTACAGAGTCAGC